TACCCTGAATTTCCAGCTGGCCAGGGTGCAGCCTGGGCCCATCCTGGTGGCCTGGGCAGGGTCAGACAGGGCCAGGCAGTGCTCCTGGGCCTGCTGAGCATGTCAGGGTGCCTCCCATGCCACCTGCCAGGGTTTGGGGCCAGGTATGATTTTTGGGGGAATTTTGACCCCCCTTTTTTGCACCCCTCCCAGCTGTTTTTGGCCTGGCAAGGCACCATTGCTGGCAGGTAAAATCCTGCAAAAATGTCAGGGATGGGCACCTGTCCCAGGGCTACAACATACCCTAAGATGGGCCTGATCTGCTCCCAGATGGCTGAGCTAGGCTGGCAGGCAGTTTTGGCATGTTCTACCCTGGGTTAGGGTTAGGGTAGGGTTCCATCTACAAGGCAAAATGTGGATTGGGACGCGTCGGCCGTCTGGTGGACCCTGGCTGGACCCTGACGGGCGGGCCAGCCGGCTGGGAAGCTGGACGGCTACAAAATCCGAAAAATCACGAATACAAAATTAGACTTTTAGCCGAGCTACTGGACCCTGAAGATACAAATTCCGGCGTGGGCGACTACAGCCAGAAAGATGGTCCCATTATCAGGAAGATGGACGAGCACAATCAGGAAGATGGACCTGTACAAGCCAGGATGATGGACCCATACAGCCAGGAAGATGGACTCATACAGCAAAAGAATATAGAAGATGGACGGCCACAATCAGGAAGATGGACAAACACAACAAAGAAGATTGATGACTACAATCGGGAAGATGGTCGACCACAAACAGGTACAACGCGCTGCCACAGCGAGGAAGATGGCCGACTTCGGTCGCAATGATGGATGACTACAGCCTGGAAGATGTGCGACCACAAAATGCACAACACGGCTCTCCAAATTGGGCATCAGAGCACGTGCGCTTCACCTGTCAGCAGTGACCGTGTCAGGACAACACACCTCACCTGATCGTCCATTTCGCATCGGGTTTGCCCCCCACACTTCTTTTCGGGACCCGGCCATGCAAAAAATGGACGCTGCGTCTCAACCAAACACCATCACGCTCCTCAGCATCGTCCCACCTTTCCCTCCTGGCGTCCCTCGGAATAAATGCCCTTTCCCGTCGAAAAGGATTGGAAAGATCGGAAGGATCGGAAGCATCCTCCGATCCCCCCGCCCACCCATCATATATAATCCAACTTGCCTCGGTCACAATTGGGAAGAACGCTCCTAGCAACCCACCCCTGTCTGTCCCAGCCGTCGAAACACATGGTCTCAATCCGCCACAAAACATCAGTATGAAACTACTAAGGAAAACGATCGGACAGGGTCGGAAGATCTTTCCGAACAAATTGTCATAGATTTGCAAGAGCACGCTGATGTTGTACCATGCTTCAGTAGCCTTCATTCTTGCGCTTGACCACTTGTCAAACTGGCAGCCAGGAAGAGTGGACGTTGATGGGAAGCAAGTCGCTATCACGGCATGGACCTCGACAAGATTGACGGCGCTCTTCTGGGCAGAAAAAGTTGGATTTGGCGCCGTCAACCTGGCAGCCAGAAGATCGGAAGCCGGCGCCAGAGACGGTGGGCAAAATTGACGGCGCTGTTTTGGGCAGGAAAAGTTGGATTTGGCGCCGTCAACCTGGCAGCCAGAAGATCGGAAGCCGGCGCCAGAGACGGTGGGCAAAATTGACGGCGCTGCGTTGGGCAGGAAAAGTTGGATTTGGCGCCGTCAACCTGGCAGCCAGAAGATCGGAAGTCGGCACCACCAGAAAAGCTGGCCCGGCCGAAAGAAAGGGCCTGTTTGACGGTCCTCCTTCAACGTCAAGCCCCAATAGTCTGGCGGCCTTAAGGATCAGAAGTTTGCGCTGGGAAGACTTGTCTGACAAGGCAACAAGTCCGAAAGAGACTTTTGGGTTGAATTGTTCGGCCAGGGTCGGAAGATTTCTCCGATCGGCGCCGACCCTTGCAAAATGGACTGCGGTGATCTAGGCTGGCTTGGTACAGGAAGCAAAAGGGAGAGCGGCGCTGCCTGCTTCCCTTCCGGGGGGCCTCTTTCACGCTTTGCAAATGCGCACACGATGACTCGTGCGAGTGTCCCCCTGGGAGTTGTAACCATACTAACTGGCGATCCGCGCTACAGGATTCGAACCTACGCGGTCTCACGCGTCTCAGCGCAAGGGACCCTACTCCCGCCACGAAGGCAGGCTATCAATAACCTTGACGAGCCACCGCTGCGCCAAAAGCGTCACTAGGAGGCTAGGTCAGTGCATCAGTGCGTTCATAAAGGAACTGTTTGCCGCAAACCTCGGGAGTCGGCCACGGAGTAAAGACCCATAAAAAGTCAAAAACAGCGCCGTCAATCCCTTGCAACGGGTCAGTTGGCACCAACATTGACGGCGCTCCTTTGGCCAAAAAAGGTCCAGACCAACGCCGTCATGTTGGCAGGCAGACCATGTGACGGTCAGTGCAAAACCTGATGGCGCTCTTTTTGCAGGAAATGGCCCAGACCGGCGCCGTCATTTTGGCAGGCAGACAGCACAACGATCAGTCCAAAACCTGACGGCGCTCTTTTCGCGGGAAATGGCTGTAAACAGCGCCGTCAAAGTTGGAGGCACCCAGTCAATCCTCCCTGAACGGCACCCCAGTGACTTTTGGCAGGGCATGGAGGCAGACGGCGGGGGGGGGCCTCCTGGTCGGATGACTTCTCCGATCTTTCCGATCCTGTCCGATCAAAACACCCCATCCCATGCCTAGTACCGCCTCCGACGACTTGCCAGCAGAATGGCCACCACTCCGTGCCCTGTCTGCAGTTTCGCCATTGCAGTAAGCAACATCGTTACACACGTTCGAAAGCA